AGAGGGACAGAGTGACCCCGGGTTTAAGGGCACCAGCCTCTCAAAGAGAGCCATAAAAAACAAGGTTGTCTCTATTCTCTTCTTGTCCAGTGTCTTGAGACCTCACAGGAGCCCTTTTAAAGCATCTCTTTATTGGCCACGCACATTGTGGCCCAAACAAAGCTCGACCGGGCCTGGCTTCACACACCATTACCACACGGCTCATTGCCTGGGCCGCCCTGTGGCCCTCTTCCTCAATGGTTCCCCTTGGAAGGGTTTATGGCTCCTGCCTGCTCCTCAGAGACCTAGGAGGATGTGAGAAGCCTGCAGGGACCCTTCTGGCCTATCGTAGTTCCGAGAGCCCCCGGGAGGTGTAGATGGAGCCGGCATCAGAACGTGGCCATCACGGCTGCTTGGGCACAAGAAGGTCCGACCCTGTGTGGCCCTAGCCCTGTCACCCATGGCTTGGGTACCAGCCATGGTACTTCCCTGCCACTAGACATCTCCTGGGCCTGCCGGTCCCGGAGAGCCAGCATGGACTGTGGTCCTGTCCTCACTTACCGGGTCACACTTGATGACTCTGGAGAGGAAGCGCGTCAGGCGGTAGTAGGACAGGAAGTTGTTGGGACTTCCCAGGTTCAGGCCTTGCACTGCAGCCACCACGCTCCCAGCGGCCACCATGGAGGGTGGGTTGGAAATGAACTTCACATCTGCAGCAAAGAGGGAGAGGCAAGGGGGCTGTGAGTGGGGGGCACTCTGTAGGACACCCCGGAGTGCCGAGCCAGCTGCACAGCCTGGAGGGAGCAATCTGGAAGCGCCGGCTCCATGTCCAGTCACTGCTGGGCACAGGAGAGCAGGAACTGGGTTGGGGGAGTCACCTGGAACACAGGCATGAACTCCAGCTCTGCCACTCACTCCAAAACAACCAGGCAAACGGAGAAACGCCACTGAAGAGCCAGGCAGGCCGGGTGGGTGACAGTAGACATCGCTGCACTCAACCTTGCCAACGTATCATTTATTCACAAAGATAAGAGACGATGCAACACACAAGTAGGGAAGGTGACATCTTTACAACCCCAGCCCTGACTATATGTGTCCACAACAGGCATCAGGGCAACTGGTCACATTCTGAGGGGACTTCACATGGCCAGGGGCTGCAGGGCTCTGACAGAGCCACTCCTTCCAGGGGCGCTGCAATCCAGTTTGTGGGCCCAGACTCTCACCAACCCACCCTCCTCCAGAGGCCCGACTTTCACTGCCACCTTCCAGAAGGAGGACCAAGTAAAACCCACTTCCATGGCAGGGCCTCCTCTCAGATGCCTTCACTTCTCTGCCTGGTGACAAAGCCTTTCAGGGACACTTGACGTACTCCTGCATTAGGGGAAAGGCACCCAGTTTCTGCCGCTGTCACTGTGTGAGAACCCCTGGAAGACTGAGCGAGCCAGGAGTCAATGCTGGCTGGCCAGGGGGGAGCCTCCCCACAGTGGAGACGAGGCGGAACCAGTTCCCACTCCCTGCCCCCAGCAGCCCTTGAGTGGTGGCCGAGGGCGTCCCTCGTGGGGGCCTTTCCCCCTGCCTGCCCCGGGCCTTACTGGGGACCTTCTGGCACCTGCCCCCTTTCCGGTGGTAAACAGGCCCAGGAGGTGCACAAGCAGAGCAATCAGCCTGCACCGCCCTGTGGTTGCCGCGGTCGCAAGCTGAGGCTTCTCTCCCAAGACCCAGCAGCGGGGTGAGGCCTTCCTCTACAACCTCACCTGGGAGGTACCTGAGGTAACCTTGTCGGACTGCAGCCAGCTCTTCCCAGGGACTCGTTCCCTCTAAGTGGTGGGGAACATCCACTTTTCCTCTCTGCCTGGCCCACCACCACCCCAGATGAGCCCCTGGCCAGCGGTGGACATCAGTGAGGGACAAGTGCGACACCCTGTCAGCCCCACTGCCTCATCTTGCACCACTGAGCATGTGGGAACCAGGGGCTTGGGTGAGTGGGGTGGAATCCACCCTGGCACAAAGGGAGTGGGGCCCCAAGGCCCTCAGGAGCAGCAGCCTACCTGAGCCTTCCTCCCGAGAATAAACACATTCAGCTCTGTTAAGGGAGGGGACGGTGTAGGAGAGTTTTGGGAGGTGGGTGGGCTGGGAAGAATGGTAGCCACCCTGAAGGAGAGACAAAGCCAGCTTGGGGCTGGCAGGTGGCGTGGTAGTTAAGGACGCTGGACTTCCATATGGCCAACTGTGGTTCAAGTCCTGGACCTGGCGGCTCGCTTTCGCTCTCTCTCTCAATCCCTCTCAGGTCAAATTAAAATAAATAAGGAGATAAAGTGAAAGCCAGCTTCTGGCACTGTCAAAATGTAAAAAGAAATCCCAGAAGAGGCAAGTAGCCTGCTTTTCCCCTTCAGACGGGAGCCAAGTCCACCAGTTCGAGCCGGGAGCTATGAATGAAAACCTCCCCACCGAGGCAGAGTCGAATGGCACACACATCTCTCCCATAGGGGCCCACTGCCTCTCTCTCTCGTGTCGCCTGTCTGAAAGGGCACTTGCTTGTCACCCCATTCAAGTGTGCAGTGGCTGGGTGGGGGGCCTTCGGTGTGTCAGTAAGGAGCCAGGCAGAATGAAACGCCAAAACGTCTGTATCTGTTCCCACACGCTGCTCAGGTACAAAGGGTGTCAGCCACAGCAGAAACGGGTCACTGGAGCCTGGTGGCCTCGCCGACCCTTGCCACAATCCATTCACTAAGCCCAATTATGTGTGCACTTCCAACAGTGCTGCCATGTCTTCACCTACCATAGCACAGAGGTCCGGGGTGCACCTGTGCACGTGTGTGTTAAAAACAACCCAACCCTGGGCGTATGTGGCATGGAATGTATGCCCAGGAACCTGGCCTTCAACTGGACGTTTGCCACGTGGAGGGCAGAGGCAGCTCCCACTCCCCACCCCCCGCATCCAGCCGTCTCTGACTTGAGCTGTATTGTGTCACTCTTGTCTCCGGAGACGTTGGCTTATGCCCGAGTCATGACGGTATCCCGGCTGGGTTCAGGGTGCAGGCAGGGATCAGGGCTGGGAGTAGCTTGTGGGGAGCCCAGGCCCAGCTGGGTGGGTGTGTGCTGCCCACACCCCTGGTCTGCTGCCCCACATCACCCACCCTGGCTGGACTAAGGAGGGACAAGTGCGACACCCTGTCAGCCCCACTGCCTCATCTTGCACCACTGAGCATGTGGGAACCAGGGGCTTGGGTGAGTGGGGTGGAATCCACCCTGGCACAAAGGGAGTGGGGCCCCAAAGGCCCTCAGGAATACAGCCCACCTGAGCCTTCCTCCCGAGAGAATAAACACGTTCAGCTCTGTTAAGGGAGGGGATGGTGTAAGAGAGTTTGTGGCCACATTGGGATCACATGAAATGGGGAGGGTCACCCAAGCCAAGCTGTCCCACCACCTTTGCCACTGGGCTCAAGATAAAGGATCTCGGCTGGCCTGCTTGGCCTCTGCGGGTACCAGCCCCTGTTGGCACCTAGGAGTCTTGGGAGGGGAGCTCCAGCTGCCCGAGACATCCTGGAGGGAGGCTGTGCAAGAACTGTCCTTGCAGTATCTCCAGGAAACTTCACTGCCTCTCTGAAACACTTTCAGCTCCATAAAAGGCTGCCTGGAGTCTCGGGAGGCCTCTCTCCTCAGAGGAGCCCCAGCCAGAGAACGCCTTCCACCCTGCTGCCAGCCAGCAGGGCCCCCGCCCCTCTGACCCACCCAGGCGACAATGTCCTTGGGACCTTTATCTGCCCACACACCCCTATGCTATGCTTGCAAGGACCCAGGGGAGGGGTCATGCCCAAGCAGGCAGAGGACTGGGGAAGCCGGAAGACTCTCCCCAATTCTTGCCTAAACTAAACATGGAATACCGGCCAACAGAGATCAGGGGGTACAATGGAGATGCCAGGCCTGGGGTTCTCTGCTTGCTTTGATGCCACCTATCCTTATGGCCCTCAGGTCACCCAGAATAAGTCCCCAAAGGCATGTGACAACAGAGGCCAACGTGGGCCACAGCTGAGCTGGCCCCTCCATCAGCCTAGCCAGGCCTCCCACAGAGTTGGGAAGGGGAGAGGTCGCAGGGGGTCAGGGTATGGCTGGGCAGCAGGAAGCAACACCCTGTGTGTGGGCACTTGTCTGACCACACTCAGTTCTGACAGGCCGGTCGCTTGGAGTCTGGGGCCAGGACAGTGCTGCCAGGGAGGGGGAAGGTTGGGCCCTTCTGCTGCCAACCATGGCAGCCCAAGCCTGGGCTGCTTCAGAACCCCTCCCAGGGCTCGAGTGACAGAGCAGAGGCACCCCTGGCGGGGCCTCAGGCTCTAAGCTCCCCTGCTGGCCACCCCCGCACTTGCACTCCCTGGCTGCTGCCGGCCTCGGGAGCACGTGGTGCAAGCACTGGGGCCGCTTCCCCACCCCTGTAGGCGCCCCTGGCAGGTGGCCCAGTCTGGGAGAGGCCAAGAGGGGGCCCTGAGGTTCAGGCTCCTTGAGGACACAGGAAGGGCTGGGTGCAGAGAGAGGGCATGGTGGCCAAGGTAAAACCAAGGTAAACCCTTTGAGCAGGCAGGGCCACAGGCTGGCAGGCCGTCCACCCCAGTCCCAAAGGCCTCGCACGGTGGGTGCACCATCCAGCCCCAGAGAACAGTCCAAGCCCTCTGCTCACCAGAACAGAAGGGGATGCTTCCAAGGTCAGGGGTGGGCTTCAGGACCACCTCCCCAAGCAGGGAGACCCAGACAGAGAGTATGACATCGGCCAGGCATCCGAGGAGGCGGTAGCTACCCCTCTGGTTCTCTGGGCGCCGGGGGGCACCGGGGCGGTGCGGCCACCATACCTGCGGCCCAGAGGGCAACGAAGGTCTGGGC